AAAATTGAAGAGCCTATCAAAGATATCAACATGCCTAAGCAGAACACGACACCAAGCGAAAAAAGTTTCAAAATTTCAAACTATTTTGGAATGCTTTCCTGAAACTACACAAATGCTTCCTGAATTTTTTATAAACACTAGACAACTTCACAAGCACGAGCAACAAGATACTCTAAGCAATTTCGAGAGCCTATCAAAGATATCAACATGCATAATCAGAACAAGACACCAAGGAAAAAAAGTTTCAAAATTTTCCGAGTTTTTGGAAGGTTTTTCTGAAAATACACAAACTATTCCTGTAAATTTTATAAACACAAACAGTTTCACAAGCACCAGTAACAAAAGACTAACAATGTCATAAGCAATATTTTGCTGAACACATTCAATAGATGCAAATACGCAACCAATGAATATGTATAAATGCATTACAACAAGCACCAAGAGACAAACTTTTATTTGTACATTTGTTAAAAATCCAAATTTCAGGAAGTCTTAAAACAATACAAACCCTTCCGGAAGTGAGAAAAAAAATAGCTCAAAGAGACAAAGCTCTGGAGATGGTTTCTGTCAGGAGAAGATTTTAGCTTTAACAACTTTGTGTTTCCCCAATTTTTTAAAAACCTTTGATTTGAGCTCCAACAACTTTCAAGGACATTTGCTTCTCTCGAAAACAAAGGCAAGCTTCCCAGGTCAATAGTTATTCTCTTCAGTTACAAAGAGTACCTAATATTTCAACTAGGAAAGCTAAGCTAAACAAATCAAACTCAGCATTCAATAGAGTTGAACAAACAACAGATGAATATGTAAAGTAGAAATCAAAATCAAAGGCCCTAATTTCGAAATCCTCAAATTTTAAATCAAAAATTCTAATTTCAAAAACTTACATCGTGATTTGTTTCCAATGGTATTTATGTCCGATTTTGAGAGTAAAGAGTGTGACGGTGTTGGTTCAATGCGATTTTTCTCATGCGGCGTCTTAATGGAGACTTCGGTGTCAAAAGAAGAGGAAAACAATTCGAGAGAAGAGAAACACGATTCGAGAGAGAATGAACACGATTTGATAGAGTTCGAATCTTCATCTGCTTCTTCAGAAATAAATGAAGTTAGTCTTCTTCGCCGGAGATGATGGAGGCAACGATTCGCCGGTGAGTATAATGTTTTGCAAAAGAGAGAAGGGGAACGCGATGTGTTTTTTTTTTTACTTATTTTATGAATTATAACACAAGAGCAAAAAATACATTTTACCCTTTAAGAAATGTCATTTTTTACTTATCTTATGAATCATCACTGGTACTTGAAGATTCGAGATATGGGGTTTCACACCAAGTGGATCATATTCGACTCGTAGTGGGTATAAGATCTTGGAGGCTTTGTTGGATTTTGATCAACCTCAACGACACTCTCTCCTTCCTATTGAAAAACAATTGTGGAGAGACTTGTGGAAGACCAAAGCTCCACCAAAAATAAAACATTTTATGTGGCGTGCTCTATCAGGTGCGTTAGCTGTTAAGCAACGTTTGATTACTCGGGGTGTTCCGTTAGACCCAACATGCTCTGTTTGTGGCAATGGTGCTGAGAGTATCTGTCATGTCTAATTTTCCAATTCCCTTAGGAGGTTTCTCTCGGAATTCCACCTTTTTAAATTTTGTGCACCTACTCAAGATTGGTAAGAGCTCATCTACGAATATGCATACAAGGAAAATCTTTCCATGGTCGCTGTGGGAAATTTGGAAAGCTAGGAATGCTTTTATTTTTGAAACCAAGGTTATTGAATCTTCGTTTATTGCTAAGAAAGCCTATGAAGAAGAAGCCACATGGTTTGATACATTCACAGGAACGACGGGTGGAGTGGGTCATGTCGATACGGAACTGGTTCGATGGAAAAAACCTCCATATGGTTTCCTCAAATGTAATGTTGGATCCTCTTGGGTAAATTCAAATCATCTAAGTGGTGTTTCATGGATTTTACGTAATGACAATGGGTGTACAATCATGCATAGCCGTCGAGCATATTTCTGTATGCGCACAAAAACAGAGGCTGATTTGTGGGTTTTTTTTTGGGCGGTTGAATGTTTGAATAATTTACATTTATCAAACATTATTTTTGAGACATCGTCGGAGAGCCTACATGACGTATTCACAAAGCCTGCTGATCACCATAGCTACAGCCATATTCGCCACAATATCTATTTTCTTCTAGCAAGGATAGATTCATGGAGTTTGGATCACGCTCTTCTTAAACGCAATGAAGCTACAGCGGCAATTGTGATTTAAGTGTCACTCGTGATCTGTATCACCAGTCGTACATTATTAGAAATGCTCTAGTTTGGCTCCATCACTTATTCGCTTTGGAAGCTCAACAATAAGGAGATTTGGTGAGGTCCCTTCCATTTTTGTTTGATGTCTAATGACATCTCATCTTCTCTCCTTTCATTCTACTTTTGTATCATCTTGAACTTTTCCAATCAAAGTATTAAGAAAAAAAAATGTCATTTTTGTGATTTCTCTTCCTGGTACCATGTTTTGGTACCATGTTTAAGACAAAAACTTCGTAAGTGCTATTTTAGTTAATTACTCTATAATAAAATTACTAATAAAATGGTCCAATAACTTTAATAAAAATATGACTAATAGATTCTCGTGATTGCTACACAAACTAACAAATATTCGAAGAATTTTTTTAGTTTTACTAGTCCAAAGATCTCAAGAAATATCCATAAACTTTCCATCGATCTTAAACTCCGAAATTTCATGGAAAAACCACATTCGTTGCTGGGAAATCCACTAGAGTACATAGTAATTTAACATCACACAAAATAAAATAAAATAGAGAGCCTTCTTGAAAGATCTCCACGCAGTATGGTTGATTAGGCTTCTTACCAGGAGCCTTCAGCACCGGCAGTTGGGTTGTTGAACGCTTTGAATTCCCAGAATGTCTTCAATGAGTATGGCTGAGAAACCGTCACGCCTTCTTCTGTGATCTTCGCTATCTGAAAAAAGTCACAATGCATTTCAAACGAAGAGTTTCAACCAAAACTTAATAATAAAGATTAATTCCGAAGCTTGTTGATGAAATAACAAAAAATAATGATATTAATGACAAACCTGAAGCTTGTTAATAGCAGATCTGTCACGGTACAGAAGCACACGCATACATTTCTCAAGGAGTTTGACACCTTCTTCAAAGCTCAGATCTGCATGCCACTCATCACGAAGAATTGGCCTAGCGAGATGGTTTCCAAATCCGGTGGCAACATGATTGTCCTCGAAACTAACACCAATCATTGACACCTAGAGAGAATCATACAGATCCAAAATGAGTATACAAACTCTTAAGAAGACAATATGTGACTGGAAAGTCTTGAGACATACCATGCCTAGGTAACTTTCCCCATTTTTGACACCTCCAAGGACGAGAGTGTTCCACAGAGGATTAAACTTGTTGCGACGGTTGTACATGACACGAGTCAGATAGTTGTGCACCTCTTTTGGTCCCAAAGAGTTACCATCATCCCACATGTTATCATTCAGACTGTACACGAGAGCAAATCAGGTATGAGTGTTTGACAAGAAGAAAAGAGAGTAAAGAAGAAGCTGAATCAATCAGATTCTTACACGAGCTCATCAAGATAACGAAGAATCTCCTGAAAGTCGCTGATTTCGCCACTGGCACCAAGAAGAGAATGCTTACCAATAGCCTTCATTCTCTCAATGTTCTTGTATCTTAAGGTGGATCCATATGAACCTGCGGGTTCGCAAAAGTTGAAAGTGATTACATAGATAATATCATGAGCCTAAGGACAAATAGTAGCACTTACATAATGCGAGTGGGTTGAAATAGTAAAAATCAAACTATTTCAAGGAATATAGATAAAGATAGAAATAACATCATATCTAAATCTTGCAAAGTGATAAGAAAAAACACATAAACATCTGAGGAACAGTAGCC